CCCATTCCTTGACCATGGTCTCTTACTGCCTTTTCAAAGTTAGCACTGGCTGGTGCAGTCTTTTCACACTGACATCACTCTATACTTATAAGGACCCTTGTAATTAAATTGGGCCCACTAAGATAATCCAGAATAATTTTCCCATCTGAAGATCCTTAATCACCCATGCAAAGTCTGTTCTGACACATAAGGTAACATTCACACGTTTTGGGAATTGGGACATGGCTATCTTTCAGGAGACATTATCCTGCCTACCACAGAAGTATTGTTAGCCAACACTTTACTGATACCTAGGAATGTTTCCTGTTTCTAGAATTACCATTATTGGCTCGTGGAGATAAGCTCCTGAAATGCAGAATTGGAAATGAAAATTAATTTTGAACACTTAAAATAATTTTATGAAAAAGATTAGAAATTGTGGAAGTGGTACTGTTATTTTCACAGTGCAGATGCAGTTTGTATTACATATATTTTTACTAGTAAACTCAGAAACTTACCATTTAGCATGCTGCTTTTTAGAATAAGTACATCTTGACTTCCCAACAACCACCTTCCAAGTGAACCTAAAATTTCAGTCATTTCTAGAGTTAGATTGTACTTTGAAAAAAGTGAGCTGTTAAGGCATTTCTGCCTATTTACACATTACCTTAAATTTGGTGTTTCAGTCATCTGGTAGAGTCTCAGAGAGACTAAGACAAAAGATATCATTTGATGGAAGTTCATTCATTCAACTGATATTTATTATGCCCCATGATGTGTCAGGTACTGCATAGGAACTGCATTTTCAATGGTGAAAGTGAGCATTATCTGTGTCCTCCCTGTGTTTAACCTAGTGGAAGTAATTATAGGAAGAGGAAGAGTCAGGTACAAAACAAGGTCACTACTAAAGTGGCAGGGAGGGTCTTGATGAGTTACTATAATGAGAAAGTTTGTCAGCAAGGGGAGGAGGCTGCCACAAGGCAAAGGAAGACAATCAGAAGGACATGAATAAGCTACTGCCTGCTTTAATGATTTGATCTAGAGCCAGCACAATTGTCTAGCAGGCAGGTACCCTCACTGCTATTGCTTAAAAAGAAAAAGTTTTCCATTTCAATATGGCAGAATTCCCTATTTTCAGAAGCTCAGAGAAAATGGTTTGAAATAGCACGAAATGATGATACAGACATGCCTTAAACTCCGTGCTTCAATTTCCCTGATTGCAAATAGGAAGACTACTTATTATAACAGAAATGAGAATGTCTATTTCCCTTATACCCTTGTTTTTTTTGTGGATTCTGTGAGTTTCTTATTAAATAATGGACAGTGAAACAAATTTCTTTTATTTCTTGGACGGCTTGTTCTTTCTCACATGATTTTGAACTTTTTCTTCCCTTTTGGAGCATTCATATAGATGAGCATATTTTAAAAACTGACCAGAATGGAATAGTAAACATATTTGGTAAAGCAACTGATTGTCACTATGGCAACATTAAATGTATTTGACATTTAGTCTTTCCATTATTCTCTGTTGCTATAGTAATGAAACCTTAGATTCTGACACCATTTCCAAATTCTATTAAAATAAAGCCCTCCTCTTTCTCCAAGAAGGAGGGAGAGCCAGTACTATTAATGCACAAGATGTATTAGACTATTTTGTAGCACTAAGACACAGATGACGTGAGACACACTTTGCTGCACTTTAATCAAACTAAAAAATGCCTGAAAAGCACAAAAATAAAAGGGAAAAAACCCAGAAAGTATCCCCAAAGTAATTTTTAATTAAAATTCAGGCTTTTATCTTAAATATAAAAAGAGCTTTATTTTATGACATATTGAACTTTAACATCCAATATCAGTGCATAAAGAAGAGCAGAATTTTGTTGTTGTTGTTTCTTTTTAGGACAAAATATAATAGAATAATGGCAATTAAGGGCCACAAAAATGAGTAAAGAAATTACTTGATGTTTTGTGGGGCTTGTTTGCTTAAGATATTATATGATCTACTCATCCATTTTAAAACTTATGACTGGGACCCAGAATATTATTACATTATTATTAAATTGTTATATAAAATAGTAGAAACATACTTCACCTATACATTTTTTATTAATGGAGAAAATAGGGAGAAATTAGAAAATAAAGTAGGTGAGAGAATAGTAAGAATGCAGTGTAGAAGAAAAGAAGGGATATTAAAAAGGAAAGTTAGTGATAATGTAATAGAGTTAGTACAAGACAGAACCAAAAAATATGAAAAGTAGAAGGATCCAGAAGGAGATAGGGCCAAAATTCCAGAAAGGGATGTTTTATATGACCTATTGCTGATGTTGCATGTGTTACTGACCTAATACAAATCATTCAGGCTATCAACAACTATATAAATTGCCAATGATGTCTGAAAATTTATTCAGCTCTATAATAATTTAGAAAAATTTCTTCTTGCTCACAGAGAATATATTCATAATGGTTAAATGAAGCATGGGTACTGGAATCAGAGAGATCTATCTTAGTTCCACCACTTCCTTCCTCATGATATTCAGTAAGCCTCCTCACTTGTCTGAGCCTCTGAGCCTCAGTTTCCCTTTTCATAAAATGGCAATATGTCCTAAACTCATGCCTCAGTTCTCCTAACTATAAATCCCTTAGAAAATATGTGCAAAGAACTTAGCACAGTGTCTAGTATTTAGTATACATCCAATACATGTAGTTGTTATATTTTCTAGCTAGGAATTATGGAAATGGGATGAATAAGGAAAGGACAAAACAGGGGTCTATTTTATTATATGTTTTTTATTTCTGTGGTCATGAGATTTTTGAGAAATCAAATAATTTGATATAGAAGAACATGCTATTTGAAGGGGCAGAACACCACCCTTTGAAGTAAAACATGATACAGCAGAGAGAACATAGAGCAGGAGCCAGGAGACTCATTATGCGTTCTCAGGTTGACCATAAATTAGTGACCTTGGACAAGCTAAAAACCACTATGGATCTGCTTACTCTTTTGTAAAATGGAGATAAAAAGATATCCTGGGAACAGAAATGAAAGGATACAGATTATAAACAAAAGTATTATAATTAAAAATCTTCTAATTTATCTTTTTTTTGAAGGTATAAATTATTTTTTAAAATGATCCATCACCAGGATCCCCCACATCCAAACTTTTGTTAACTATGGTTTAAATCTAAATTTTAGTATCTTGGGCTTGCAGATATCAACAGTATCTTAATTCATTCAGGCTGCTATAACAAACATAGCATAGACTAGGTATTAAACAACAAACATTTATTGCTCACAGTTCTGGAGGCTGGGAAGTCCAAGAGCAAGGTGCCAACAGACATGATGTCCAGTGAGGGCCCACTTCCTGGTCCACAGACAGCTGTCTTCTCTCTGTGTCCTCACATGGCAAAAGTGGCAAGAAAGCTATCTGGAGTCTCTTTTATAAGGGCACCAATCCCATCCATGAGGGTTCTACCCTCATGATCTAATCACCCCTCAAAGGCCCCACTTTCTAATACCATCTCCTTGGGGGCTAGGGTTTCAATATATGCTTTTGGGGGAGACTCAAACATTCAGTCTACAATAAATGGTATAATGTATTAAATGTTAAAAAAACAGTATTAGTGTCTGAGCGAGGAAGACAGATAAAAACCAAGGTATACTCTATTTCTAGATCTGGTAAAATGCTTTTCTCCCCACTTTTTTTTGTGTCTCCTCTACCTTTTCTCTTTGGAAAAACATTTATACATATTGCTTTTATAGTTGAGCAGCCCAAAAAGCTTGCCAGGAAACTCCTGTCTTTCAATGAGTTGAATGAAAGTTTTCTAGTCAAACTCAGGATTCTATTTACACTCGTGCTGCTGTTATTGTATGTTGATCATGGTCTGTTTTACTGCCCACACAGGAAAATAATCTGAACAGGAAAAAAAATAAAAAACTTTGCCTATAGAAAATACATACTGTAGTGTTTGGAGTAAGGTATTCCATGGAAATTGGTAAAGAAGTGAACTCAAAGCAATGGACGACATGAGATAAAACAGCTTTAGGTGCTAAACAATGATGGATTCATTGATGAAAGCTACTGTGCAATGAAATTATACAGTAATTGTCCATTCTACAACCTGAAATCTAAAATTTTTGGTAACTAATAAGCACAAGGTCTTTTCTAGGTGCTAGAGATAAAATAAAGACTAATGACAAGACCCCTGCCTTTGAGAGCTTCCAACCAGTTCAATAAATGTTAGGGAAAAATGGTGGATTGTGGGGAGAATTTTGTTGTCTTCTTACTCCATGAAAACCTTTCAAACATTTTGGCCATCTTTAAAGCAATCACCATGCAAGTACCAATCACATCTATTTTAAGTGTTGGTACAGTGTGAGGTTTAAGTGCACAGACTATTTGGATTTAAACTCCAGCTTTACCAACTGTGCAACCTTAGAAAGATACTTGTCATCTCTTGGCCTCAGTTTCTTCACATAAAAAATGTGAAAAATACTAGTAGTTTTCCCATATAGGGCTGTTATATTAGCTGAATAATTAATATATATGAAGCTCTTAGATCGGTGGTTGGCACAGAATAGTATTCAATAATTATCTGTTAAATGAGCCAAGAAAAGAGAGCTGGCCAGTGAATGAAAATCTTCCAACTCCAAACATCTGTGAAATTCTTATAAGAAGGAAATCAAGAATGCACACACATAAATGCAACCAAGAAGTTACAAAAAGTCATAGTAACTTCCCAAACTGAGAAAACAGCATGTGTAGTCTTTATTGCTAAAATGAAATTTATGCATCTGTTTTTCTGTTGATACATCATCATACAAAAAAAGTTGGATCAATTTTCACCAAATATTCAGGATATATTTTGGAGGGGGTGATTAAAATATAGGCTATTTTGCATAAGTAAAATTCATTCTGCAGGGGACTCAAAGAAACAAATGGCTATCCTACAGAAATACTGAAGCTGTTGTTCAACCAGAGGCCACTTTGACTGCCACAGAGGGGAGATATACCAAAAGTATATACATACCAAAAGTGATTTTTAAAAATAAGCTCAAAATAGAAAGGCACCAGGACACATGTTCCAAATTGCAAGCATAGATTTGTAAGTGATCGGTTTCTTCAATGGACAATTCCATGTATGGGTACACTGGAATGAAGAACAACATGAATTTTTATAAAGGATTGTTAATGATTTTCCTAAATCACCACTGTTCTATTTTATTTCATAGGCTGTTGCAGTAGAAATCAAAGTTTGACTAACAACCCACTATAAACGAAAATGGCAACTTAACCATAGTTTATGCTAGTTGGAGTGTCAGGACACATTTGATTTCTCAAGATTTGATAACAGAGTGATCTTTGAAACTTAAATCTGTTATTCCTATTTCATGCAATAATGATTGCCATTTTTAAATAGCTACTGTCCTGGCATTTCCTATGTTTTTCCCCTATTTTTCCCAGTTGTATGCGGGGAAAAAAATCTAAAGAGAAACAATTGCAAAAATTTCTACAGGAGCTATATTGGTTTTCCATTCAATGGAAATTTTTAGAAACATGAGATTTGCTGTTGAAAACTTCTAAATGTCATTTTACAAACCATTATAATTTACCTGATGGATGATGAAAATTGCAAGCAATTTGGTGGAACAGCATAGAGGACAAAACGCTGTGAGTTTTATTTTGTTTAGTGTTCAGTTTATTTCAGCAAATTTATTTTTGCCAGCCTAGGTGCCACTAATGTGCTAGGTGCTAGAGATAAAAGGTACAGTATGATATCTAAATAGAGTATGTAAAACTCTTATGAAAATGAAAAAGTTGATCTGTTCTAAGGTTGTCATGGACGAGTGGGTTTTGAAGAGAATAAGAATGTCACAACGACAAGACAAAGAGGGAGCAGGGCGTCACAGAAGGAGGAAACAGAATGTGCAAAAGCAAAAACAGAGATAGGAAACAGCATGATACAGTAAGTGTAGTTTTTATTATAACATAGGTTATAACATGTTCACTGAATTATTTTTTTCATAAATAAACTGTGTTTGGAGACAAAAGAGGAAAGTGATTTTCCCCTTCCCTTTTGTCAAATAATAAGCAAGGAAATTGAAATATTTTAGTTAACTATTAGATTTCCATTCTGAGACTTTCAATAAGCTGTGGCTAGGTAGTCTAGAACAGTGTTGTCCAATAGAAATAAAATGCAATACATATGTATAAGTTCAAATTTTCTATTAGCTACATTTAAAAAAATAAAAAGAGGCAGCCAAAGACATCTTGAGAAATAAAAACAAAGTTGGAGGCATAACACTTTCTAATTTCAAACTATATTATAAAGCTCCAGTAATCAAAACAGCATGGAAATGGCAAAAACCACAAACACAGACCAATGGAACAGAACAGATTGCCCAGAAATACATCTGCTCATAAATAAATAAATCCATGCTCAATTAATCTTTCATAAAGGTGCCAATGAATATGTAGAATACACAATAGAAAAAGGATAGTCTCTTCAATAAATGGTATTGGAAAACTGGATATCCACATGCAAAAGAATACAATTGGACCCTTATTTTAGACCATATACAAAAGTTAACCCTAAATAGATTGAAGACTTAAATGTAAGACCTGAAATCACAAAATGCCTAGCTGAAAACATAGAAAAAACTTCCTTGACATTGGTATTGGCACTGACTTTTTGGATAAGACACAGAAAGCACAGGCAACAAAAACAAAAATAAGTGGGATTACATCAAACTAAAAAGCTTCTGCACAGCAAAGGAAGAAACCTATAGAATGAGAGAAAATATTTGCAAACCACGTATCTGATAAGGGGTTAATATCCAAAATATTTAAGGAACTCATATATCTCAACAGCAAAATAACAAATAACCTGATTTAAAAAATAGGCAAAGACCTGACTTAGACATTTCTCCAAAGGAGACATACAGATGGCACATAGGCATATGAATAATGATCAACATTGCTAATCATAAGGGAAATGCAAATCAAAACCTCTATTGTTAGGGTGGCCAATAAAAAAGAAAAACATAAAAAGTACTAGCAAGGATGTAGAAAAAAGGGTAGTGTATACACTGCTGGTGAGAATGTAAATTGGTACAGTCAACATGGAAAACAGTATGGAGGTTCCTCAAAAAATTAAAAATAGAACTACCATATAATTCAGCAATTCCATTTCTCAGTATATACCCAAAGGAAATGAAATCAGTATCTCAAAGAGGTATCTGTACATCCATGTTCACTGCAGCATTATTCACAATTGTCAAGATGTGGAAACAACCTATGTGTCCATCTATGAATGAGTGCATAGAGAACCTGTGCTATGTATTTATTCATGTATACATACACGTTTGTGCATGTGAACACACACACACACTCTGCAATATTATTCAAGTATAAAAATGAAGGAAATTCTGCCATTTGCAACAACATGGATGAATCTGGAAGACAATATGCTAAATGAAGTAAGCCAGCTACAGAAAGACAAATAATGTATGATCTCACTTGTATGTGGAATCAAAAAAAAGTTGAACTCATAGAAGCAGAGAGAAGAAAAGTAGTTGCTCAGGGTTGGAGGGTGGAAGAAATAGGGTAATGTTTATCAAAGGGTACAAACTTGCAGTTACTAGATGAATAACTTCTGGGGATCTAACACAGCATGATGATTATAGATAGTTAATAAGTGTATTGCTTACTTGAAATTTGCTAAAAGGGTATATCTTATTTAATAACTGTCCTCACCCCTCCTCCAGATACAAAATGGTAACTATGTGTGGTGATGTTAATCAATTTGATTGTGGTAATTATTTCACAATATGTACATATATCACATCTTCATGGTGTAAACCTTGAATACAGACAATTTTTATTTGTCAATTATACCTCAATGAAACTGAAAAAAATTTAAAATAAAGAAAATTAATTTTAATATTATTTTCTTAAGCCAATTATGCAAAACATTATAATTTCAACTTATTTTATAATCAACACAAAAATAATCAATGGGAATTCTACTTTTTCATACTAAATCTAGAAATCTGTGTATATTTTATATGCATAGCACTTCTCAATTCAGACACTATTTCTTTATCAGAAATATTTGATCTGTATATTTCAAAAAACTTACAGTTGAAAGAGTATATTCACATACCCCAAGTTTTCTAAACTTACTTATAAGTTATCTAGTAACTAAATCAAATATCAATTTTTAAATTAAAATTAAATACATTTAAAATTCAGTTATTCAGTTGTTCTAGCCACATGTTAAGGACTTATCTGGCTACGACAGTTAACAGTACAGTTCTAGAATAAGTGTGTAAGTACCTTTAGGTCCAATCTCTAGCCTAAAATTATTATTAACAAAAATCAAATCAGTGAACAGAATATCAGGTTGGTAAAAGGGTACCAATATTATACATTATGTATTACTTTCAATCTCTTCATTGTTGGTCCACATCTACTCAGATAAGATGTAGCTGAGAAGAAATACTGAGGGTATTGGAAAAGATCCTGCAGTCAGCAAAGAGACTAAAGTTAACTGGAGGAAGTTCAGAATTCGTAGTATGAAAGCAGAAATTTCTTAATACTTACTGACTCATTCTATACCTTGTCCTTGTTACTGAAGTAAAATAAATTGATTCAAGTGGTAGACAGATTCTGAATGGGGACCAAAAGAAAGTTTGTGGTCATAGTGTGCATGGCTAATTCTCTAACTTTCTCACCTCCCTTATCCAAAATACATTCACCATAAACAAATCCAAAATAAGATACAAGTTCTTGTATTTTTTCAACAACAAAGTTTCTTTTGTTCTACTTTGGCAAAGTCACAAGTAAAAATTTGTCAGGTTAAGCTGATCATTACATTTTAAAGAACATATTTCATAAGCACTTGTTTTATGGAAGAGAGTTCCTCCAAAATTCTCCAGCAAGGAATCACCATTCATCCAGAATAATCCGTCATTTATTTACCAAATCTTTTTTTTTTTTTTTAGTGCCTATTATCTTCTAGTCACTGTGGTAGGCAAAGAAATTACTACAGTGAACAAGAAAAACCCCACCCACATAAAATATGTGATAACGGCGGTCACAGGAGAGCCTGTGATGAGATTTCATTGGGGTAGGGTTGTCAGATGTAGCAAATAAAAATTTTTACTTTTTAAAAAAATGAGATGCCAAATATTGCATTGAGTATATTTATACTAAAATTTATTTGTTGTTTATCTGAACTTCAAATTTATCTGGTAAACCTACCTGTCTTTTATCTGGTAAACCTACATTGAAGGAAAACTTGGAGGTGAAGGTAGGATGGGTGAATGGACAGAATGGACGACTTCCTTCAGAAAGTAATTTCTAAAATGAATCCTGGGCATAGCAGAGAAGAGGCAGGGAGAAATCTTTCTGGGAGGAAAAACAGCAGTACAAACTGAGTCTCCCGGCCACTGTAGAGTCCCAGAACTCAAGGAAGAAAAGGGATTGGGGTAAGGAAAAAGGATGGTGGGTAATGTAGAGGGATGAAGCCTGAGGGAAAAGCAAGGGTCTTATCTTTCACGATTTGGTAAGGAGTTTGTACTGTATCATTAAGAGCGGTGAGATTCCACTAAAGAACTTTAACCAGCGTATTTTGGCTACAGAATGATGCTGGGAGACCAGTTAGGAGGCTGCAGAAGTAATTCAGGTGAGAGTCAGTAGAGGCCTGAAGGCAGTGGAAAGATAAGCCTATTAGTAACACTTGAACTTGAGATGGCAGAGAAAAGAGGCAACTGCAAAAAGGGATAAAGAGAACTGACAGGGAGGAAAACCAGAAGCACATATCAGGGATAGCAGTGAAGAAATAGTCAAGTCAAATGGTTTTTGAGAAGTATAAGGTCTGAGAAGTGGCTCCCAGATTTAGCCATAAAGTTGGCAAGGGAAGTCTCAGAGGAATGGCTGAGAACAAAGTACGGTAGGTCGCAGCTGGTTGAGGTTCTACTCAAGGTGATGATGGCTTAGGAAATCAGAGGGAGCTCCCACTTGTTCTCTGGCCTTTTAACAGGTGAAGGTCAAGGACAAGAGTAGAGTTTGGAGACGTCGCGGCCAGTGCCCCAATCAGTCAGAACAGCGCAGCAAGCCTATCGCTAGGAGCCAATCCTTTCCTAGAGCCCACTTGACTGACAGAGCCTCGCGCCAAAGACTGGGCGCAGAGCGGGAGGCGAAGCACGAGGGGGCGGAACTCCAGGGCACTAACCCGGAACCGGTTTGGGACTCGATTCCCATTGTGAGCCCAGGCCTGGGGCGGGCTATCAGCCAGAATGGCAATACCCTTTAGGCCAATGGATGAGCCGCAGAAAATGAGCGGCAGCCAAATTACCCAATGGGTGGCTGGAGATGGGCGGGCAAAGTTGGTGGGCGGGGGATCAACGAAGCATATTTTTTTCTAGCCCCTTAGGGGCGGTCTTCCAGAGGTGCCGTTGGGGTCGCAGGTGCGTGGTTCTGAGCCGGAGGAGGCAGCCCGGGAAGCCGTGGTTCCGAGAACGGTGGGTGCCCTCTCAGCGGGGAGGGTCCCGGAGGGGTCAGCGGTAGGCGGCCGCCCTACCGCTGAGGGCTGTGGCCCTGGCTTTGCAGCGTAGCGGGACTACACGCTCGGGGGAAGTACCACGCACAGCTGTCGCCTGACCGGGGGAGCTGGTGTGGGCCCAAGCCGCTGAAACAAGGCTGCAGAAGTTTCTGGGCTCTCAGTCAGGACTTTCATTTAATATTTACAGAGAGAAATCTTCCCGGTTGTCCCGAGTCCTATTAGGCTCCTACCAGGTGCAGCGGCATCGTTGTAGTTGAGTCAGGTGCGCGCCCCTGCTCCAGGGTGGCCTCCAGTCTTCCTTGATTCTTCCCAGGGGCTACTTCTGGATGATCCGTAAGGAGACAGCGGGGAGGAGGTGAAAGGTACTTTGATAACGGGCGACCCTTAAGTAAACTTTAGTTATTTACCTACTACAAGTTTTAGAGAAGAGCATCCTATTCGGCAGGGACGTGAATCTCATAAGACTATAGGGGAGGGGAAAGCCACACTAACGAAAAGATGTGGATGGGGGTTGAGGGAAGTTTGTGAATTTGTGATGCTTTTCTTCTTGAACTACTTAATGAAGTTTACTGTCGAATTTTTTTGACCCGGGATTTACAAGTCTGCTTTTTCTCAGACCTCTTACTTGTCTTACCATAAAGTATCTCTAGGAACTTCATTCTAGTGTTAGTTCTTGTAAAAAGTTACCCGGTTATAATATACCATTGGCGGTACATCATCTTCACCGGGACTACTTAAGTGAGCTACATATCATTCCTATTTCCCACCAGTAAAGAATGATTGTGAGATGAGATTTCAGGAAAATGGCTCTTCTATGTAATTTGACACACAGAAAGGTCTATAAGTTTTGAGAGGTTGCAACTCTTGAATTCCTTCCTGTAAAGACAGGAAGTAGAACCAGTATAAAACAGATAACATTTGGTATCTAAAATGGCATCTTTTCACATTTATTAGGTGTTGTGCCCCCAGCAGCAAAAATAGTGTCTGACACATAGTAGGAGATTAACAGGAATTTTTTGAGGAAATTATTGGGGAACGGATGGCAGAAAACCCAAGCTTCTGTTACATGGGTTCCAAAATATAAAGGAGGGAACAGAAAGGCAAACATTTCTGGAAATGGCTTTTATCCCTGTAAGCATAGCTACCAAATTTCAGCAACTCAAGATGCATCGATGCTACACTTTCTTGCACTTTATCAGAAAACATCCAAATAGTAGTCGAAAGTTTTCACAAAGTTAAGCCAAGACTGGAAATCTAAGGTGCATCTCGATATCAATTTCACTAAAGTTAAAAATGTGTTAAAGTCCATTTTACCAATGAAATAGTTCGTCAGCTTAGCATAGATCAGTTAGGGACAAAGGAAAGCCACTTCGTAAGTTACAGGTATGGAGTTAGGAATTGTTGGGGAAAAATAGGCCATGCAAATAGCAGCAACTGCTGCCAAATTTTAAAAATGTATTGACTCGGATGGTAGGTTAAAAAGGGCTGCTATTTCTGCCATGTACCAATAAATTTACAACTATCCAATTACTAAATCAATCTCAGATTCTAAGAGCAGCAGCATCTGATGGTGGATATCTGCATAATCACTTCATATCTGGATATCTGCTTTTGACAACTTAAGTAATTGTTTTATTATATAGTTATATTTTGTTATATTTTTTAGCTTATATATTATTATAGTAACAATGCCTCCATTATAAAAGGTAATCTGTTTGAACTTCAAAAATACATAAACTTTCTCAGATATATTTGTCCCTTTCAGTAAATTTTTTAGCAAAGAATATGGTCTTACTTAGCCAGCATTAATGATTTGTAACATTTGGCCCCAACCTTCTTTTCTAGGTTTAATTCCTGATACTTCTCCCCGTTATTTCTGCCCCTCATTAGTTTATTTGTTTTATAAGACCCAGATCAAATACTAATTCCTTCTCAAAAACCTCCTTGATCTTGTCAAATATTTCTGCTTCTCCTGAACATCCAGGCTATTTTGTTAGGATTTCTTTGTTGAACTTTTCATATGTTTACATTGTTCATCCAGTAAAGAAATACTTGTCTACTATATCCAGGTATTGTACTAGATACTGGATAATAGCAGACATTTGTGGGCTTAGTGTATCTTAGGCATCCTAAGCTTCTTAATTGGATTATCTCTTTTAATCCTCACAATATTATTAGTCTAATATTATTACCATTTCTAGATGAAGAAACAAGTTTAAGAGGTTAATTTGCTTGAGATTACAGAACTAGTAAGTGGTGGAACTGGCATACAAACCTAGGTAGTCTGTATTTCACAGCGTTTAGTTTACAGACTCCATTACAGTTTTTTCATGTGAATTTTTTTATGCATCTGGGTTTTACAGGTTTTACTAGGTTGTAGATTATTTGATAGCAGGAATAATATATTCATCTTTCATCCCTTATTGCTCCTAACGTAAAATAAGCAATTATTGAACAGCCTGATAGTGGAAGAATATAGCAAGGACATCGGACTTAGATGAATGCGAACAGCGAAGATGTCCTGAAGCAGGAGATGTTTAAACTGAGTGTCTAAGGATGAGTAGACATTGGCTTGACAAAGGACAGATGCCACAGGACTTGGGAAGATGGACTAGAGAAATACCTGTGTGATAGTACGAGGGCAGGGATAGTGACAGTTACAGCTGTGCCGTCCAGTCCAGTAGCCAATAGCCACATGTTACTCTTGAGTACTTGAAGTGCGGGTAGTCCAAATTGAGATGTAAAAATGTAAACTGTAAAATACCCACTGGATTTTGAAGACTTACTATGAAAAAAGAATGTAAAGTATCTCAATAATTATTGATATCGAAGTGATAACATTTTGGATATATGGGGTTAAGTAAAATACTTGTTTTTACCAGTTTCTTTTTTTTTTTAATGTGGCTACTAGAGGACTTAAAATTATTCATAGGGCTCTCATATTTCTATTGAACAGTGCTGATCTAGAATTTAGCAGAATTTTAGAATTACTGCTGCTGTGTTTATGCACCTGCATGTATGCACATGTTTGTTGGAGAGGGTGGGTGGGGAAAGTGGTTTGGGAAAGTAGGAAGGTGACGAATAAGACTGGAAAAGGTAACTATGAAGGTATAAAGGTAGGGCTTCAGATAGGGTTTATAATAGGAACAGAAAGCAAAGAGTAAACCTACCTCTTAATTGCAATGGAAAGCTTTTGAAAAATTTTAAACAGTACATATTTGTTGAATGAAGCAATGTGTTTTAATTACTCAATTTATTAATGAGTGTTTCTGATTTATACTCCTAATTCAGTCTTAATTCTTTCAAATGATGATATGGGTAGGTGTATAAAGACATTCTACTTAGAAGAAAGTTTGGTTCTCAAGTGAGCAGGCCATTTCTTCTTAAGTCTAAATTGACTTAGCTTGTATTCCTTTGATGTATTTTCAACAAATAGAGGTGTGAGTTGGTCCTTACAACTAGGCATATTCTTCTTGTATCTGGCATAACATCCTATTGGGCATATTTTTCCAAAAATAAACCAGCTTTGTCTACATTTTAAGACTTTTGTGGCAGATAAAGCCTTTAATGATCTCTGAAAGGAATTTGTTAGCTATAGCATTTGTACTCCACTTTGTCTTTTGTACATATTTGTGCAAGTAACACTTGACTCTCTAGCAGGGTGCTTCTTAATCCTGGCTGCAAATGAGGATCACTTGAAGAGCTTTTAAACTCCCATTGCCTAGCCCTATTCCAAAGGTTGTTTTAATTGTTCAAAGATAAGGACTGGTTATAACTATTTTTTCAAAGCTCCATAGGTGATTTTTAAAAATCCTCATGTGCTGTAAACTTGCATGGTCTGATATCTTAGCTACTAGGCACATTGCTATTAAATTCTTGAAATGTGTCTAATACAAAATGAGATGCGCTATAATATTAAAATATACATTGTATTTTAAACTTAGTGGAAAAAACAAGAATGAAAATCTACCATTGATTTTACGTTGATTGCATAATAAAGTGATAATATATTGAATATACAGTATATAAAGTCAAATAAAATATGTTAAAATTAATTTCACCTTTGTTTTGTTTTTATTTTACTGTGACCATAGGAAATTTTAAATTAACGTATGTGGATCACAGATTTCTGTTGGACAGTGCTGTTCTAGTCTAGTCTGCTGCTACTCAAGGTGTGATCCAAGGACCAGCAGCATTAATATCATTTGGGAGTTTGTCAGAAATGCAGAATCCTGGTCCTACCCCACACCTACTGAATTTTAATCTGCATTTTGACAAGATCCTCAAGTGATTCGTATACATGGTACAGTTTGAGAGACACTACTCTAGCAATAGCTTCACAATTTTTTTCAATTTAATAATTTTTCTTATTTCTTCTTTTTCATTGTAGAGGCTGGTAAGTTTTTATATTCATGATCCCAGCTTTGTCTCATTTGTCCATTAGAATCATTTGTCTTCATGTCATTTTCTGTTTTTAATTCTTTCATTTTTTTATAATTTTATCTCTTTATATTTTCAACAGTCAGTGCTTTTTAACTTAAGTTCCATTAACTTATGTGAGTGGAATTGGTATGTATTCATGTAATATATGTAATATGTGTCCATAAATACTTATATGCTAATATAAACATACATGATTTTTCTGGAAAGAATTTCTAAGAAATTGTTAATATTATGTTGGCGGTAGCATTCCACTTCATTTTGTACTTTTATTTAGGTTTTATAAACATGTATATTCTTTTTTAAAAAAATCAACAGATTTGTGAGTTGTGGATTTATGGGGACTTTAAAAAAATGTAGTTTTCTATAATAAAAATCCCTCAAAAGTAGATTTTTAATATAATGTTACCACCTCAAAGTAAAATAAAACAAATGTGCTATATGCTAACAAACAGCCACATGGCTGAAACAGAAATGATTATACACGTGATCCTTAGAGCTAGTGATTGGTGGTAGATAGAGTTAATGAGCCTGTTGTAGAACGTAGCATGTTCTGTGACTGTCAGTGTTCCTAAGTTGATCTGTGAATACATATGCACACATAGACATGCATATTTCCTTTCCCAATTTTGTTGGCTTGGATTAACTATAGCATTTATACAGGGATGATGTGCTGAGATACAGCCATACTCTAGTATGATATATAAATGGCATATATTCCATTATGTGACCTGGTATAGTTTATTTATCCAGTCCCTTGTTGGTGAATATTTGTATTTTTAACATACTTTTTACTTTAAGAATACGATAGTGGTTTTTAAATGGTTCAAAAGGCTGTGTAAATATATGAAACATTCTGCATCTTTTGTAAACAAAATTCATCCTTATCACACTGTAGGCATTTAATCTGATAGGGAATTTGTCGTAACTTTGACTCTGTCCTATTTTTAAGGACATCTAATCTGCCAATTCTGTTTTTTCAAAATGTCTTTGATAATTTGCTTATCATTGGTCAGTACTGCTTAAGTAGAAATAGCCTGTGTTTGCTGAACCTTTTTTCTTCAGAGTTTTGTATAATCTGTTAACTGTTACATTCTCTGTTGTAGTTATAAGGTGGGTAGTTTATCTGATGTCTTTACTTATTCTCATAAACTGCTTCTAGCCTATATTGACTTGGGCTGCCTTTTTCTTATAAGCATATGTACTTTGTGTGCCTATGGAAATTTCAGTTTTACTGGCTTACCTGCCTTGATTTATTTTTTATTTCTCTTTTTATCTTTTTTTCCATCACCTGAACACTTTATTTTAAGTTTAATTTTTACCTATTTGTTAGGCATAATGCCATATATTGAAGATACTGTCTTTGGAGCAGGTGGACTATCATCTCCAAGATCCTCAGAGGTGCAACAGATGGTAAAAGAAGGAAAAAGTCAAGTTTTGACTTTAGTAATTCATTCAGGCATCCTGCAACATAAAGTACTAAGAAGCAGCATATTGGGGCTGGTTCAGTGATATATAAATTATTTTGAATCAGTTCTTTTTATTGTGGCTTATGAACGTGGTACCTTATGAATATTTTCAGTCTTCCTATAGAGGAAAGCTGAATATTTGCCCACTCTATTGGATAATTGAATTATCTAGGAATGTTAGGCCAGAATGCTAATTAAATTTGATCCTCTAAAATTATAAGCATTCTAGAATGTTCACCAAACTGACTTGGGAACAGATGCTGAAATATTCCATTTTCTTAATTTTATTTATTAGGTTATATTTGATATATGCAGCAATACAATAGTATAGCTGTAGTAGTCTAATAAACTGGCTTCTTGATGGTTTACTAGAACTAAAAAAAAAAAATCCTGATTTGTAGCATTTGTCAGTTCTGTAGTATAGTACTGCCATCTTGGCCAATTTTTTAGCTCCCACCAGGACATTGCTCTGACTGTAAAGTGGAAAAAGATGTGCACAATTGACTCTGGAGAGCTCTCCCAGTCAGGCTTCAACACACCCCTAATGTAGCTTGTATGTTATGAAGCTTAATAATAAAGACCTGTGGGCCTACCACTCAACTCAAGAACTGGAACAGTTCTAATTTTGTGACCTTTCTGTTTCCTTTTGTCAAAATTATTTAAAGATTTTGCCTTGGAGGTAATAATAACAAACACTTAATAATGCTTAGTTTGTGCCAGGAACTGTTCTTTGCATTTTAGTAGATCTTTTAATCCTGTAGTATCTCTGTGAAACAATGTTATCATCATTTTACAAATGAAATTGCACATTGGGAGGTTAAGTAAGGCCACAGGACTAGGAAGTGGCAGAGCCAGAATTTAACCCACGCAGTCTGATTCCAGAACCTGCTCATAACCACTACACACACTGCCTGCTTTGATGATATTTTAATTTGTGAAATGCCTTTGCTTATATTCTAGTGGCAAAAGGCTTACATTTATTAGGGCAGTATATCCCTAGGACAATATCAAGAGTGTTGCCACTGATTACCTGTTCCAATTTAGTGGATTTGAATTTTATCATTAAATATCTCTTGAGAAATTTTGAAAGTCTACTAGTGTACTTTAGAAATAATTTGCCTGCAATCTTTTTTTTTTATTTTTGCATTTTTTGCCCTTATTTGTGAGTGTGTGAAAATGACAGTGATTTGAGAATTTATTTTCCGCTGTTTGGGATTTCTAGTTCTCTCTGACCTCCATTTCAGCAGCAAGTGGCAGTTCAGGAGATGGTTGTTCCACATGAGTGATTAGAAACAACAAGATGTCATGCTGGGCATATTTTTAGTGTTGTTATTAGATATATACAAAGTCAGCTGAACAAAGATTACTGGGAGCTTGGAAAGGAAAATGCTTAAAAGTTTACTGCAATGGATGCTTTGTTATTATAGTTTAAAAATAAGGAATTAGCATCCACTTTTCAGTCCAAAAGAGAAAAGGTTCAAACAGTGATAGAAAAGACTTTTTGTCTTTTCTGACAAGTTTCTGATTAAATTTAGCCTTGCTTAATTCCTATATTTTTGCTTCAGTAGAAGATACTATTTTTATTGTGAATTACTAAAGAAATATTTCTCACACTAACAAAAATTTTAAATTGGCAGACATTAAAATATTTGAGAAGAAACCATAGTTGAAAGGTAAACTGAGGCACAATAAAATTTTAGAGTTTATTTGTGCAAACAGTGATTCATCTATTAGGCAACTCCAAACCAGAAGTAGATTGGGGGTCTCTACAGAGGGAATAGAAGGGGAAGGCTTGTACAGGGTTGATGTGAAAGTAAAGCAAATCAAATATTTGGTTGGTTACAGTTTCAAGGTTGCCTTATTTGATCTGTCCTGCTGGAAAGTCTCTAGTTATGTAAGTTGGTTGTTGGCTTCTGATTGGCTAGCCTTAAGTTTCATTTTTTTTTTTAATATAGACATTTATACAAAATAAGACCAAATTAAGTTTTGCTTATGTTTGCAAATCAAGCAAGGTCAATAAGGTCACTTTTGGGGCCTAACAGGCTTTGTCAGCTCAGGGATTCTTCATACCTTGTGTCCATTTAAAATTTACTTTAATAGGTGATAGAAGAAACATAACTGGTTGAAGTTATGTTTGAGTTATGAGGACGTTTTCTGCCTATATATACAGAATTTTATCTGAACTGTCAACATACATAAGAATCTACTCCTTTTGAAAATCTTTTACTGAATTGCGTCTCAAAACTTAGCAACATGTTTCTAACATTTAGCTATCACAAGCTGCTAATAAAGTCAAAGTAGATGAGACATGAAGACAACTGGATATAAGTCTTATCATTTAGCTATGTTGTGTGCAAATTAACCTCTCTGGATCTTGTTTTATGAATAGAAAGGCTGGCTTCTCCCATAAAATGCTGTGGAGGGGCTTCAATGACAAGACCTGGAACTTAATAGATATTTGGTATTTTTTCTTCCTATTGACAGGAAAAGTTTATGGTCATACAATGATAGAGCTGGAAGGGACCATAGCAATCTCGTCCCATATTCTCATTTTGTAAAGTCAGCTGTGAGTGAGTGAGTGAATTTGAAGTCAGACAGCGTGGTCTGGGTAGGTAACTCTTAATTCTTTTGAGTCCTTGTTTCTGTTACATATTTGTAAAATCTCTTCCAAGTAAAAGAGACCTCTCTCCCACTTTTCCCCTCAGTTGAAAAGCACTATGTGATACACTATGCAAGGCACTTGGACCTTTTCGAAAGATAACCTCATTTTATGCCTTTAGGAGAATATTGAGTCCCTGATTTACTCAACATGTGTTTCAGCTTCCTAATATACTTTCCCATAGTGGAAAGGCTAGATAGCAGAGCCACCGCAGTGAGGATTTTAGATTCCACCAGTCAGATGCATTTATAAAATGTTAGCCTTGAAATCAAGGTGGGTGAAAGACTTAAGTGTGCGAAGCATCTGTTTTACTGGTGTGGGTGTAGCACAGAGGTTCTCAAACTTTAGCTGCATTAGAATCATCTGGAAGGCTTATTGTAACAAAGATTGTTAGGTCCCAGCCCTAGAGTTTCTGTTTTTTTTTTTTTTTTTTTTTTTTGAGACAGAGTCTCACTCTGTTGCCTGGACTAGAGTGCTGTGGCATCAGCCTAGCTCACAGCAACTACAAACTCAAAGGTTTAAGCAATCCTTGTGCCTCAGACTCCTGAGTAGCTGGGAATACAGGCATGTGCCACCATGCCTGGCTAATTTTTTTCTCTATATTATTTTAGTTGTCTGGCTAATTTCTTTCTACTTTTAGTAGAGACAGGGGTCTTGCTCTTGCTCAGGCCGGTTTCGAACTCTTGACCTCAAGCGATCCTGCTGCCTCGGCCTCCCAAGTTCTAGGATTACAGGCATGAGCCACTACTACGCCTGGCCTGCCCTAGAGTTTCTGATTCAATTGGTCTGAGGTGTAGCCTGAAGAGTTTACCTTTCTAACAAGTTTCAGGTACACACACTCTTGGATCATCCAACAACCTGAGAATTGTCTGGAATTGGAGAAATATTCTGTCTTGCATCCAAAAGAAATAAAGAAATGCTTACAAGAGGATCTTTCCTATTCAGAATTTATATTAAAATATTGCCACATGAATATTTGTAAATTTATTTCATGGAATCTCCAAGTGTAGTTACTTGCCTATATTATGATCTTCAACTCTACAGTTAAAGTGGCCCAGAAAAGTACCAAGTACTACTGAGAGATTCTCCAAAGAAAGGCAAAGAATTAAAAGCATTGATTAGAAACAAATACACCAATAGCCTGGGGTTTTTTTGGTTTTTTTTGTTTTGGAGGGGGGTGTTAGAGGTTTTTATTTAAGTGATTTGAGGGAAAGTGAACATTGAGGGACAGAATTACAATGGCAAACCATGAAATGTGTGCTAGTGTTCAAAAGTTTTAGGAATTAAAAATACGTTTTTGTTTTAATTGGTTTTCTTTTGCTTTTACTGATTAATTAGGTGGGGTGGCTGGGGAAAAAAAATCCCTGTGTTTTTTTGTTGTTGTTGTTAATATTACTCTTTTTGTTTTAGCCCTACAGTATTTTCATTGTTTCAGAAAATTTTATTCCAAGTTTAGAGTTTCTTTATTGGTTTAACCTCACAATAAGTTTTAATTTGTGAAGTAGTAAAATAGAGATAGTTGTCATTTCTTCAATCAGATTACGTTGTCTCAAATTAGTTTCTGGGTTTTGTTGATTTTGCAGCTCAGCCTTTCATTTTTCTTTTAAAATTATTCTACAGTGTCTACATTTATTTTTTCTTTTCAGTATTTCAAACTAATGATCATTTTGGCAAATCCACTCATGCATTCATTCAAAGTCTATTTATGGTGTGCCTGCCATGTGCCAGAAACTGCTAGGCTCTGGGAAAATGATGGTGGGCGGAAACATCTCTGCTTTCATGAAACTTGTAGTAAAGTGGAGGAGAGAGAGAGAGGCTCTGAGCTATGTGTCAGTACAAGTATAAAATTTGGACTAGGGAAAGTACTGTAGACTTTATGCTACAGTAATTTGACTTGTTAGGAAAAGCTTCACTGAGAAACAGATGCTTAGTCTGCAAGCTGAAGGATGAGGAGGAATTACATAAGCCAAGAAAAGAGCAATCCATTTTTGAGGTAGAGGGTACAGTATGGATGAAGGCCCTGAACAGGGAAAGAGCATGACAGGAATAGATGAATGAAAGAAAACTAGTGTGGTTGACAGAAAGAGGGTGGGTGAATTAGTAGGAGAAGGAGCTGGAGAAGTAGGAAATGGGTCAAGAGTGAACTGGCAACTGGTGAGGAGCCGTTGCAGCAACCTGGGTGAGAGAAGATGGTAACTTGGGACTGTGGTGGTGCTGGCCAAGAGAACTAGACAATTTTGAGCCATATAGAGGGTGGTTTTTACTTTTTAAAATTATATAGCTTATTAGGTTGAAGTATGTTACAGAAGTTGCAGATTGATTGTACTTTTTTCCCCTTTAGGAATTCTCCAGCCTGCCTCTGCTACTAGATGAACGGAAAACTCAGTGATTTGAACTAGTGTCAACAAGGAATTGTCCTTGGTTTTTGTGCTTTGCAGCATTCCTCAAATTCCTTTCACATCTTCCCTTGCTATAAGAACTGCATTTAAGTTAAAAAAAATGAAGCAGCTGAAAAGAAAAAGGAAAAGCAATTTTAGCGTTCAAGAGACTCAGACCCTTTTGAAAGAAATTACAAAAAGGAAAGAAGTCATTTTTTCCAAGCAGCTCAACACGACAATTAACGTGATGAAACGAATGGCTTGGGAGGAGATTGCACAGTGTGTGAATGCCGTTGGAGAAGGAGAGCAGAGAACGGGGACGGAAGTGAAAAGAAGGTACCTTGACTGGAGAGCACTTATGAAGAGGAAGAGGATGAAGGCCAACATTAAGTTAGTTGGTTCCGGATTTCCCCTTCCCTCCTCTGATTTAGATGACTCTCTCACTGAAGAGATAGATGAAAAGATAGGGTTCCGAAATGAAGCAAATTTTGACTGGCAAAATGTGGCAGATTTCCGGGATGCAGGTGGATCCTTAACCGAAGTCAAGGTGGAAGAGGAAGAAAGGGATCCCCAGAGTCCTGAAGTAAGTATAAGCCTATGTACCCTCTTTTTGTCTTTTTCAATTCTGGTGTGGGAGTTTATAGTTCAGGAATGGTTAAGAAGTTCCCAGATTTTCAAGTTCACTTAAAGATAGTACATAACAAGTTCATTTGTTTTCTCTTTACATCAATAATACCTTTCTTCCCACCTAAACATAACTTCAACTGTGTATATTGGTAACATCAGGTAATTCAATGTAGATGATTTTCAAAATTCAAATTAAATGGTTTTGAATACTCAACACAGAAATCTTTTAAGAAGAAATATTTAGATAAATTGGCAATGACCAAGTAGAAGTAAATACTAAAAATGCTTTTCTCTTTTTTCTTAGTTTGAGATTGAGGAGGAGGAAGAAATGTTGTCATCAGTCATACCAGATTCCAGGAGGGAAAGTGAACTTCCTGATTTCCCCCACATTGATGAGTTTTTTACTCTTAACTCAACACCATCTAGATCTGCTTATGATGAGCCCCATTTGCTTGTCAACATAGAGAAACAGAAACTAGAGTTGGAAAAACGACGCCTGGATATTGAGGCTGAAAGACTGCAGGTAGAAAAGGAGCGGCTGCAGATTGAGAAGGAGAGGCTGCGGCATTTAGACATGGAGCATGAGCGGCTTCAGCTGGAGAAGGAGCGGCTGCAGATTGAGAGAGAGAAGCTGAGGTTACAGATAGTGAATTCAGAGAAACCGTCTTTAGAAAACGAACTTGGTCAAGGAGAAAAGTCCATGCTTCAACCACAGGACATAGAAACAGAGAAGTTAAAACTTGAGCGAGAACGCTTGCAACTGGAAAAAGATAGGCTGCAGTTTTTGAAGTTTGAATCTGAGAAGCTGCAGATTGAAAAGGAACGCTTACAAGTAGAGAAAGAAAGACTTCGAATTCAGAAGGAAGGACACTTGCAGTGATTTTTCTAGGCCTCCCATTTGGCAAATATTTGTAAACTGTAGGTTTTTCTTACACCAGGTGATATAAGTATGGTTGCTGGCTTAGCTGTGGTTTTTATTTTCTTGTCTAATATCAGTGTTTTCAATAAGAAAAAGTTATATGTGGGTAGCTGTATGCTTAAGTAGCATATGACATAAAAACTCTGTGCCCTAGCATAAACAGTATAGCAGGAACTTGTGCTGGACTCTTTATATTGGTAATATTACATAGAGTCTTGTATAGTCTGTGCACCCAGGGTTTACAATTACGCCTATATAAAATTCTAGCCCAGAGGTTCTCAACCAGGAGTGATTTTGGCCTCCAGAAGACATTTGACAATGTCGGGAGACATTTTTCATTGTCAAAGGTGGGGTTAGGGGACAGGTTGCTACTATCATTTAGTGTGTAAAGGCCGGGGATGCTGCTAAATATCCTTCGATGCACAGGGCACCCCCCCACACACACACAGTAAAGCATTATCCAACCCAAAATGTCTCATTAGTGCTGAGGTTGAGGAAACCGATCCTAGTCTAACTTTGCACCTCTATAGCTGTGTTTTATAGTTTTAGAATATTAAAACCTCAGATATTTATGTGGGTAGGTAGGTACTTAAATGGCCAAAAATTTTAACTATTAAATGTTACTATGTAGTATATTGAATATAGGAAGTGATGAGATTATAGATATTTTATTCCCATCTTTTCATCTATAAATAGCTTTCTGAGATTCAGAAAACAATACAGGGAACATCAGAGAGTTTTTAAAATGGGTCATTCATCTAGCTATTGATGCTTTAGAAGCAGGACACAGGTTTTGAAGCTTTAGTTCCTTTTGTTTGAATCATCGTCTTAGTTTGGATATAAAAATTGTCATTTCAACTATGTCTTGAAATCTTATGTTAGTGAATGGTTGAAGCTAGTAAAAATGATACCAGTATAAAAATGGTACCAGTAGTCTATGAGGTTGAACCCAGTGAGCAGTTGTTTGACTTTTAAAATAAATAATAGCAGCTATTTGGGGGTAGGGGGTAGGGGAGAATGTTCTCTGTATCAAATAATAATTATGATGTTGAAACAAAGATAGTAGCTATGTGTTATGGAGTGGGGGAAGAAGCACTGATCACATGCTGTCTGACTGATTCTGTAGGATAATTCTTGAGAATAGAATCTATTATTCCTGGATCTGAAGCTCAGAAGTCACATAATGAGTAAATGGCTGATCTCCTCTCCCTGAGGAACAAAGTATGTATCTTTAGTCTCTCTGGTATTTATTCTGAGCCCAAAGGTTTGCTTAACCTAGTTTTTTTTCAGTTCCCTGAAGGTGCTTTTTCCACGATCCGAGTGATTCTGATGCACACTCAAGTTGAGAATCACTGCACAGGATCACTTTGTTTTCTGATTTCCAGGGCTAATATGTAGCTTTAATACATCTCTTCTGTTGACAGATACTACCTTGATTCTGCATTTGTTCCTTGTTAATTTAAGAATGGCTTGAAACTGTATGTTGACATTGAGTATGGGTATGCAAGGAAAAAAATATACTTCTGCGTACTTACCCTGACTAAAATAGTGTTATTTTTCTACATCTGAAATAAATGCTTCTACCTTAGAAATAAACTTGCCTATACTGTCTGAAAATTTGTCATTTCAGGTGATGCTTGGTACTCTACGGGTAGAAATTATCTAGCTTGGGAGAGACCCCTGTCATTGTCAGTGAAGACAGGGGCCTAACATTTGTACTAGGTCTTGAGCTATGTGTGTTACATATGTTATTTTATTTGCTCCTCAAAACAGCCCTTGAACTAAGTCATGTTATCTCCATCTTTATAAGAAAGGAAACAGTGCCTCATTGATTTAATTAACTTACATACCTAAAAAATTCTATACCAATAGTGACCTAAGATTTTAGTAGAAGAGCTCTAAGGAGTAGGAAGTTTGTAGGTGTAGTTACAAATATTGTAGCTTTGCCATATGCTACTTGTGAAAGTCATTTAACTTGCCCTTCAACTTGATTTCCTCATTTATAAAATGGGCATAGTGATACCTACTCTACCTAAGTGCCATCATTTTTTTCTTAAAAGAAAATGGTATGTGTTGTCAACGGAAAAAAGCCAAACTCCGTAAAATAATTTTAAAGAGATTTATTCTGAGCCAAATTTGAGGACCATGACCCGGAGCCACTGCCAAGAGGCCTTGGGCAAGCGGACTCACCGTGGCTGGGTTACAGTTCAGTTTTATACATTTTCAGAGAGACAGGGGTTACAGGCAAAGTCACAAATCAATACATGAGAGGCACACATTGGTTTGGCCCAAAAAGGTGGGTCATCTCAAAGCGGGGGGGCTTACAGGTTATAGGTGGGTTTAAAGATTCTTTGGCTGGCAATTGGCTGAGAGAGTTAGACTTTATCTAGAAGACCAGAAAGGATATGCTTACTTTAAGATAAGGATATGAGCACTCTGGGAGGTCCAGACAGGAGGACATTTTAAATTTACAATAGGTGCCTGCTAGGATGCTTGAGTTAAGATATTTTAAATTTATGATAGGCATCTGCTAGGATGCTTGAGTTAAGACAGGGGGTTCCTATCTTTTAGGTGATGTTAATGCCATACCAGAATCAGGTCAGGAAGTAAACCACTGCTTCGTTTGGTTAACAAAAGCCGCTTAGTGGGAATTTACCGTTTGTCAGCCTAACCCTGCTGGCCTCCTTACCATTTGCCAGCCTAACCCAGCTGGCCTCCTTAGGAAGGAGTTTTTGGCAAAAAAATTAGAGTTCAGTCCTCAGTGTAAAGTATATAAGCTATAAAATGCTTCTTAAATGAAAGATATTAGTGTTGGATTTCAGAGCAGTAGATTTTAATTTCTTAGGGAAAGCATGAGCATAGCCAATAATTAATTTTGGGTAGAGCACTCCTAAGTTTCTGGAGGTGAGAAAAAAGAGAAGCATAATATCTTCCAGGGCTTTGGTTGAAGAGCCTTGGGTTTCTTAATCCTGCCCAGGGTGCAAGTGGCTTAGGTTGATTCACTCCAGTAGAAAACAATGTTGCTGCATTTTTAAGGTGGTAGGCACACTCAGAATGAGTCATATCTGTTAGCCATCGCTGTATTACAAACAAATCCCAAATTTGGCGGCTGGAAACACCAACCATTTATTTTGCTCATGATTTTAGAGAAAATTAGGCTGAACTTAGCAGAATGATCTTGGCTGGGTTCTCATGGTCAATGTCAGGTTGGCTGGGTGGTTCTGCTTCTGTGATTAGCCCTGATATTTGTTGAGGGAGGTGGGTGGTGGGGTTGAACTCTCCCTGTGGTGTTTGATCCTCTAGCCAGGCTAGTGTAGGCTTGTTCTAATAGGGATGGCAAGAGTCAAGGATAGAAAGCACAGGTGTCCAAGGTGTCTTGAGGCTTAGTCTCAGAACTAGCACCTCATCACATTTCTGGCATACTGCATTAGCCAAAACTAATCACAGGGCCAGACCAGACTCAGGGGTGGGGAATAGAGTCTACCTGCTGATAGGAGGAGCTGTGAGGTTGTTTTGTAAAAGATAGGGATATAGAGAGGGGTGAGGAATTGTGGCCATGTTTGCAACCAATCTACCACACCTCCCTCTGGTTTGCCTGGGATACTCCTGATTATACCAGTAGTTCTGGTATCCTATCTGATTTAGCATTTGTCCTAGACAAAAATGCCCTGATAAGGAATTTAAATTATATAGTCACCCTCATAAAGAACATCTCTTCCCATCCCTTTTGTAAAGATGCTGATTTCGAACAAGTAAGGGACCATAAATTTGCAGGAAAGAAATGTGGTCTCTAGGGCTTTTTCTTCTAAATTAAACACTTTAGTCTTTGTAATTGGAGAGAATTCCTGCTTCACTTCTTTCCTTTTCTGCCTAATTTGTCCATTTTCTATTACTTTGCTGCTTCTGTTCATTTTTCTACCTTTCATGCTTTGTCACCTCTATCCTGTCTATAAAAGCAGAACATAGTGCTTCTAGAATATTTTATTTTGAGTTAATAACTACCTTATCTTATCCCTTTGTGCTTAACATTTTTTTTTTTTTATTTTGAACCCAGAATGATTTTTACTGTGCTGTTCTCCATTTGCTTTAACGGCATACTTTCTGAAAAGTAAATTTAATTTTTAAAACATTTTTAATTTGTCAGAACCTTCTAGTCACTATCCTCAGATGTAAAGTTATAAAGTTCTAAAGCTCCCCTATACTAGTAGACTGTTTCCTATTTCCACCTCTTCTTTCTGACATGTGCAGATCCTTTACTTCCTTACCAGATAGTGTTTTATGCAGTGCCTTAATTAAAATCCAGATGAGGATTGTCTGTCAAATGTATCACTTTGAAAATTTCCCCCAGTGCATATTGAAAAGGATTTAGCCTATATATAGCTGGGAGACAGCTGGAGAAGAACGTACCTTCTTAAAAAAAAAATCGGTAAACTGGTTGTTTAAATCTCAGAAGGTTAATTTACTACTGTAGATAGTGGCATTAAGACCACGCCATTTGAATTGAGACAAGGAGAAAACAAGTGACAGTGATTATAAAATTTGAATTTTGATAAATATATTCTGAGAACTTTTTCAATGATTTTCATCAGGGAACATCCTTTACTGTTTATTTTTCCGATGTGACCCATTCATCTTTAAAAAAAAATTGATAAATTGAAATATAAAGTCCATCAACTCTAAAATCAATTCCTTTCAAATTTAAATCTCCAGCTCCAACATTTGAGCTGAAATGCAAACCTATACTTACAATTATTATAAGCATCTCACCCTGTATATCTTGCTGATTCCTCAAATATGTGATGCTTACCTGAATCAAGTTCGCGAGCTTCCTTCTCCTACATGTAAATCATCTTCCCTCTGCAGGGGCACCATTTGTCCCGGGGGTTATTTTAGAAGTGTCTTTGAATCCTTTGCCTTGATTCTACCCACATTGTTAATGAAGTCTTGTCTCGTCTTCTGTTGATGTCTCAGATCAGCCGCCTCCAATCTCACGCGTAGTGCTCAGCATGGGAGAATCTGCAGCCTGCATTCCAGCAGCCTCCTGTCTCTTGGTTCTTTCCTATCTAATCTTCCCTCTATGACACCGCCAGAACAGATTTCCCAAAGTACTTCTTTCCTTGTGTCCTGAGAATTGATGGTATGTGAAGTAGTGGGAGAGGAGCAAAGCTCAGGAAAGACTAGAGAGGTCCAGACCCAGCTCCACTGCACTGGGTGATGTGGGGCAGTCCGTGTCTCTGAGCTTCCCTGTCCTTGCCTGTACTGCATCTAGTATGTGTGCCCTGCCTGACTCTCGCCATGTTGGAAATAATATATGAAATGCAGTTTAAAACTAGAAAGCAGCTTAGAGGTATTACAAACTGGCTTTTCCCATAACAAGTCTCCCATTCCCATGCGTGTCAAGTAAAAAGTCCACAAATATCCTTGGCCTGCCCTGTTTAAGATTTTTCTCATGCAGATGTAACCAAGTACACTTGTCAAGCCTCTCTCCAAATACACCATGCATTTTCCTTCCCTTTGCCTTTGATCACGTTGCTCTCGCCCTTCACCTTCCCTTTTTCTATCCCAGAGTGACAATCAGCAGAACAAAACTTACAGATGGAGGGGCTTTATCTTTTCATTTCTATTACTGTTTACCATAATTTAAAAATACCAAAATGAATTTCACGGAATAAAAATTGGAATATTTTATCATAATATTGGTGTCATGTCTTTCAAAGTCTCCTTGGAGATCTTTTGAATAAAAATGTTAAAGTCAGCACCGATCTGTCCAGTTTATGACTCCTTCCTCTCTTGCCTGAAAACTAACCACAGGAGTGGGCCCTGGCAGCCAGGCCTGTGTTCTGTGACTCTGCCCCTTTGGCTGGACTGTAAGTAGTTGGACCAGGAACGGTCATGGATGGGCTTTGGATTCTCTGAGATTACTGCACCATTCAGACGATTCTCTTTCCCACTGAACATGATCTGCATCCTGACCTGGATCTAATGTTGCTTTTGGTTATTTTGCAAATAAGTAGGATGACAAAGATTTTAATTTATGCATGCTCATTATAAACTCTGATGCCCTCCTATGAGTCTGTTGTTGGGTTTAGAGTCTTCTTTCCTCCTATGCTATTTCCAGATTATTGTTTCTCCATTCTTTTTTTTTTTAGCATACTATGGGGGTACAAATATTTAGGTTATATACGTTGCCTTTGCCCTGCCCAAGTCAGAGCTTCAAGTGTGTCCATCCCCCAGACAATGTGCACCACACTCATTAGGTGTGAATATACTCATCCCTCCTGCCCCCTCCCACATGCCCAACACCCAATGAATGTTACTACTATAAATGCACATAAATGTTGATCAATTAATACCAATTTGCTGGTGAGTACATGTGGTGCTTGTTTGTCCATTCTTGTGATATCTCACTTAGTAGATCCACTCATGTATTGATGGGCACTTGAGTTGTTTCTACATCTTTGCAATGGTGAATTGTGGACATTCAAATGCAGATGTTTTTCCTTCATTCTTTCACAAAAAACCCTACACCTTTGAAGCTGGTACTTAACAGGCCAAAACCATCTTCCTCTTTTCATTACTCTTTCTGAACATACCTT